CGCTCGACAAGACGAATTTGTTTTTACTGGCTTTCTTGCATGCTACTGGTTTGGCATAAGTTAATTTGGGAGAAGGCGACAACTAAGAAAAGAATAACAATACTTATGAAAGAAACCAAAATAAAGACTTCATCATTATCATAAAAAACACTAAAACCAGGAAATAAAATTTTAGTCCGTTCAATAATTTGTTTTATTATCAGAGAAAACAAGAACTCAAAACGAAAGATGGGCGGGATTTAATAACAACTTTGACTTTGATGACTGCAGTCACCGGGAAACTAAACATGCCTATAAATGACTTTCATTCAAGAAAATGCCTATTTAATTCTTTTACATGGTTGTTCTTTTCTTGAAGACTTCAATAATTTCAGACTGTGCGGTTCGGCTGCATCTCATGCAAACACGAAACTTCTAGCTGCTAAATACATGGCATGAAAAGTTCGACTTCTAAAAGCCACTGAACCAGCTTTCGCTCTCTGATTCTGAGAATGGAAAAATAAATAAATAGAGTTGTCAACTTGCTGCCAACCGGCTCGACAGTATAATTAAGCTTATGTTTCATGGCAATCAACCCAGAAGAGCTTCGTTTTAAAACACGGTAAAACCCACTGGTAAACAAAACTACAAAGCGATTGTGTGTTGTCGTTTTTCCAAATAAAGTTTGAATCGGCTTTAACACATGTAGACTGAGAAACTGAAGAACTGAAAATTAGAACTACAATACACAAGCTTGCAATGATAACGTTTTAATTTTATGTCTTAGTTTCAGCCAGGTTAAGTGAAAAATAACAGTCAAATACTTTATTTTCGTGAATGAAAATCAGTTTACCTGACGCTCTAGCCAAAATTACACACTGAGTTATTATTAGCCTGCGTAGCAAGCGTTTCCAATCGAGTTATTGCGCAAAAGTTAGAGCGTAAGCAAAAAAAGGTTGAAGGGGGAGGGGGAGAGGAGAAGAGGTTCCTTCGTTCCCCTCCCCCTCCCCCGTCATTGATTTTTTTTTTCTCTTGTCCCAGCTTTCTAGACGAACCTCGCGAGGAAACGCTTGCTACGCAGGCTAAGTTATTATCATCTTACCTTTTCTGAATCTAATCGACTAATTGTTTCAGTGATCTGTGCCTGGTTATCCATGAAAGCAATTTCAATAACTACAAAATAGTCAAAAACACGAGCTGCATAAAGCAGAACAACTGAACCACAAGCTGCACACAAAATGAAGCGCGCGGGAGACTTTGACTGGAAAGTGTGACTGAAAAAGAGACCGGAAATGCTCAACCTGGCGCATGCGTAGACGTTTTGCCGCGGTGTTCTTACCATCAGGCATCTCAAGGAGTACAAGGCTTGGCAACTTTGTTTTTTTTTAGTCTCCACTCCTTCCCGGTAGTGAAAAGATGGCGGAAGATGAGGTGGTGTTGGAGAATTCTCCTTTGCAGAAATATCTCGACGAAATTGGCTTCACAGACTTTGAGAGGGGCAGTAACCTTAAAGGACACGAAAAACTTAATGAAGGTACATTATCTATACTTTGGACCAAAGTAAAAGGTCTTTTGCAAAGTGTATTGACTTGGGACACTTGGGAATCGTGTTATGTTTTGACACCACCAAGGAACGATATTGAAGCCTTCAGGAAACACTACATTGCTGCTGTAGTTGATTCTGAAGTGTTAAATGATGACGACTTAAATTTTCTTTCCAATTTTGATGCTGAACTCTTCAAGCCTGGAAATCCGGGTACATTTGGTGAACCGCAGAAAGAAATGATGTTTTTAATCAGCAGAAGACATGGGCTCCTTTCCTTTTTTGTCCTTATTTTTTCCTTCTTACTGGCTACTGGCAATGAGCTCTCCTTTCCTACATTTTTAGTCACTGTGGTAACATTTTGCGCTATAGGAATTAAAACAACAAGTCGATATTACTTCAGCATTTGTCACCAGAGAAACATAGGCCAGCTGAAGTCATTCATGTCACATACAAAACAGTTGGCTTTGCTGTTGAGAAAATCAGTTAAGCTCATTCAAGAAATGGAGCTTTTATCAAGAGGATATACTATGGTGGGCCCGATTATTCCTTCATTCATAGAAGGTGGTGATAATATGACAGGATCAGTTTATCCAGCATTGAGGAAGGCTATCATAAAGAATGCAGAGAATGCAACAACTTGCCTACAGAGGTCAGCAAAAGAGCTGATCTTTAATTTTCCCCTTAGTTTAGAGTATGCAGGGATATTCACATACTTGTCTAAAGGATGTGAGGAAATTAAGCCTGATTACTGTGCTGAAGAACTGTCATTACAAACCTTGAAACTTATGACCTCACTGGTTTTTGGTGTGCAGTCAGAGTTCCTCAGCAGATTTTTGCTCTGTTTGTCTCTGGAGGCAAATGGTGGAAACTTGACTAAACTGTACAGAAACCTTTTTACAAATATGAATATAATGTTTGGAATTCCTACCAGACTCTTAGCAGAGTCCCTGACATCACTTGAAAGAAGCTACAAGCTACACAAAAGCTGTTGTTTTACCAGCAATGAACAGTCAGTGAAACATCATGCAATTAGTAACACCAAGTGGACAGGTCTTGATGTTGCACTTCATAGTCTTCAACTACACTTACAAGCAGGAATACTACGAGTGCAGTGTCTACAACAGATCCTTGGTAAGAGTGAAATAGAAAATGAAAGGAAAGCTGCAGAGGCAACTCACATAAGTTACAGTAATCTTGAAACAACTTTTCATTGGTTGAAAATAGACCTTGAGTCAGCATTGAGCTGTTGGGAAGAAGGTAAAAAGAACCTTGAAAAGTTGTTGGGTAAAGAATCACCCAAAAAACCTGATAAAGAGACTTCAAGTGTAGTGCCTAATGTTATTTTGGAAAAGTCAACAAGCCATTGTGAATACCATGTGAATGAAGAAGTTGTAGAAGTTGATAGGGTCTATGAAGCCTTTTCTGACCCACATGAGGAAGATTTTTATAGGCACCCTATTCTGTCAGTGGAAGATCTTGAAGAGGAAAAGAACATTGCAAAGGATAACAAGCAGCTTTTACAGGAACTCAAAGCTGTTTTGTTTACAAAGTCAAAAGATCCACTAATAAGCACTGCAGGGTACGTCCAACCTGTGAAAGCACCTGTAACCCTTCAAACAGATGCCACTGGCCTGCCACACAAAGGGGTAGATCAGTCGTCGATGGAAGTGACAAGATGTAATTCTCAACACAGGAATGATGACCTTTGCGTACACAAAAAACATTCCTCTGAAGCAGAAGCAGGTCAACCACCTTTGCCATTCACAAACGTTCAGCCATCAGTTGCTGCAACTGTTGCAGCTGCAGCTGTTATGAGAAGCAAGGCTATGGGACTCAGTGAGGAAACTTTTATTAGTGATGAGGAGTCAGATTGAAAAGGTAAAATAAAATTCATGTATGTGTACATGTACATTGATGAATATTGCTTGTCTTTAAATTCATTTTTTATTATTCATTCAAAATATTTCCCTGATTCTGATTGGCTAAAAGCACATGCATAATTCACCTTAACCAGCTACTGGTGACCAAATTTGGAAGAATTTTGTGTTTAATGAACCAATGACAGTGAAAGTGCAGTTTTCTTGCAGGTTAAAGCACCATTAACCAAGAAGACTTGGGGACGAGGTTGAGTTGTTTTGGTTGTGAAAACAAAACTGGTGAACTTGTTTCACTCGTTTCAGGATTAAGAACTAGGCAAAATAATAGTTAAAAACATGGCAAGAACAGCAAAAAGACAAGTCGAAGGGCGACATCTGCCATTTGGAGAATATTTGCAGAGCTGAACAACCCTAAACGTGCACTATCAAAGATGAACTTACCATTGATGAAGGTAAGCATGTTTTGGCTATGTTTTTAAACTAGGAATGATAATTATTATTTTGAATGAATAATAAAACAATTATTGAATTTGGCTTTCGTATCATATGAAGAATTATGGAGATCTCGGAGGGGTTTATCCACCTCAGCCTGCAGCCTTGACAGATAAAACCCTCCTCGATCTCCATAATTCTTCATAAGTTACTCAGCCTCATTCATTAATAATTAATAATTAAAGGCATTTTTCAACAAAATTCCTGGTGGTGAGTGAGTTAATTAACAACTATTGTTAATTAACTCATTCACCACCAGGAATTTTGTTGAAAAATGTCTTTGTAAGCTAGTTAAGCCATTTTCTGGTCAGTCTGTAGCTATAAGGAGCCAAAACTGCTGAAAACACCATTTATAGGTTGAACACTTTTGCAGAAGTTTGGGCATGTACTGAAAGTAAAACCTTAACCAAGGTAGTTTTTGGATTTAAAGGAGACAAAGCCATCTCGGGACATACATTTTGATACACTTTTTATCACAGCCAATTAGAATCTATTTGAACAATGCCCATACTAGGGCAAACACAGCCCTTTCTTAAAATCTGGGGAACACAACAGGAAACTGAAACATGATTAGTGACAGCATTACACAGACATCCCTCCTCCTCATGCAACAAAGCAGGTAGGAGACATCTTTACCCAGGCTGTTGGAAGTTAGACTTTTTCCCTTTTAATATGCCTTAATGCTGCCAAATTTGTTTTGCCAAGTGTCTGTACTCTTATAGTCTAGACAATTTGCCTGAACATTTGGGCAAAATTGCGTCTCAGGAATGCAAAAAATTATTTTCTGGTTAATGTTTGTCACTAAAAAATGTTTGAGAAAGATATTGAAAGGACAGATAGATTTGGGTGTCCCTAGTTTATCCATGGATGGAAAGGAGATACCAAGACTGAAATAGGGATATGGAAAAAGTAGGGTGATATTATATGTATTTATAGTTCCTTTGTCAGGTGTGGGACAAGTAAAATGTTCAAATTGAGGATGTAAACAAGCAAATTTTGTAAATACATATTTTTTTATCTCAGGTACAATATACCATGGTCACTTTTCAAGGCAACATGTGCTGAATAACCAGTACATGTACAGCATAAGGTAGAAAGCAAGTTATTTATTCCATGTCAGAGTCTTGGCACATTTTTTTGTTGAGCTGTTTCCTCCAAGTTCTTCCTTTGTCTTGTACAGTTGTCCGACTTGGGATCTAAGAATCAAAGAAGTAGGCTTAATAATAAGTACTATTTTATTGCCATCAAGGGACAGCTTCATAAGGTGGACTCCTCCCAAGAATGTTATACACCGTCCTCAAGAGTTTCATTTACATGTATCTCTCTGAGCCCAAGACTGTCATTATTGAGCTATTTTGAAAAAATAGCTCATATGTCAGTGGTGTGAGCATATGTATCTTTGTGGCTTTGTATGTTGGGATGTTTGTTGCAAGAGCCAATAAGGTTGAAGGTACTATGAGTTGATGCTTAGGAACCAATGAGATCTTGGCATCTATTTGAACATGGCATTGGTAAAGGTCAAACAAGGGCACTTTGAGACCGCCATCGTGATTCTTCACAATTTTCCCGTCTTTTATTACGGCTACAGGTGTTTGGAAGAATTACATTAATTATACTACTACATGAGAAATTTCTGCAATCTGATTGGCTTAGAGCAGTGGTATTTCAGTTTAATTTGAAATACCTGCATGTGAAAATTACAAACCTTTTAGGGGTAGTGGTATAAACAAATAATAGCATGATTTGTACGTGATATTTGGCAAAAATACCACTCGTGATATTTCAAAATTGTCTCAAATTTCACTTGCCTAACAGCACGTGAAATTACGTATAACAATTTCGAAATACCACTCGTGGTATTTATGCCAAATATCACTACAAATCACACTATTACCTATACATATCTTCATGATTCAAACGGTGTGTACAGTGATGCAGCTGTTTAAGGGTTCATATTTTAGTATGGATGCTGCTTCAAGGCATTTCTGACCTAATTCGGCTATCGGTACACCGCACGTCAGTATGAGTTCTGTTTCACCTGCTACAACTGGGTAGAGTATAAAAGATCATATATTTTCAAAGCTCTTCCAGTGAAGCAATAATTGATTTTTAGATATAGACTTTAATGCGAAAGTATGCGCCCTATAAAATGTGGTTTTAGAATTTTAAAAAGGCAGCTTATTTTTGTGAAAGCTGTACCGAGTATTGTTAATCCTGTAAACAAGCTTTAAAAATATTATTCTCTCGCTTACAAAGTTCAACAGACCTTTTTCGTTCTGGCAAAACAAAAAAAAAGAATAATAAGTGAACAACTTGATACATCCTTCCTGCATACAAAGTATTATAGTTTCTGAAACGTATTTTATTTAGGAAAGATGCGTAACTTGAGTAGAAACAGTATAGCATTAGGGAGTAAAATTGGAAGAAGCTAGTTGACACAATAACTAGATACTGTTGTATTGAGTGGAGTAACATGATACAAGTAGAAATATATTTCAGCAGTTTGATAATTTTCTTGGAAGTTAATAAATGTTAGGCTATCAACCTTGACGTTGCATGAAACATAATTTAATTGCAGATGTTGTAATAAAGCAGAGGTGATTTCTTAAAATCGCTTGAGAAAATTTTGTAGTAAAACAATTTGCCTTTTTTTTCGTACAAATTGTAAAAGGGCCAAAGACCAACATCTTCACTTGCAAATTGTGTGCATGAGTTATTTTTATAATTCTGTTCACTAGATTACTGTGTGATAACTCAAATTCCCTCACGTACAAACCACGAAAGAGGGCAAAGTCCAACACTTTCATGTGCCAGCTGTGTGACTGTACACCTCAAGCAGATTGGCTTTTCACAATAATAATAGTAACTTGGACGTATGAAGACCTGTTTCGTTTAGTAACCAATGCCCTATTAAAAAAAGGCTCCTGTCTTTTTAAGAAGCAATAGCTTTTAAGACATGAAGAAATAAGTTGTCGGAGTTAAAGACTGTCTCACAAATGTTAATAAATGTTAGGTTATCAACCTTGACGTTGCATGAAACATAATTTAATTGCAGATGTTGTAATGAAGCCGAGGTGATTTCTTAAAATCGTTTGAGAAAATTTTGCAGTAAACAATTTGCCTTTTTTTAACATAGGAATTGTAAAACGGCCAAAGACCAACATCTTCGCGTGCAAATTGTGTGCAAGAGTTATTTTTATAATTTTGTTTACTAGTTTACTGTGTGATAACTCAAATTCCCTCAAGTATGAACCACGAAAGGGGGCAAAGTCCATCACTTTCACGTGCCAGCTGTGTGACTGTACATCTCATGCAGATTAGCTTTTCACAATGATAAATAGTAAGTTGGATGTATGAAGACCTGTTTCGTTTAGTAACCAACAATGCCCTAAAAAAGGCTCTTGTCTTTTAAGAAGCAATAGGTTTTATGAAGAAATAAGTTGTCGGAGTTAAAGACTGTTTCACTGAGTAGAATCGCACGTGAAAACCTCGTGAATTATGATGATGCAACCATCTACCACAATGGTAAAAATCCTGGTATTTCGTAACTATTCAGTATTCGATGAGTCAAATTTTGGCTTAAGAAACTCCGAGGAAACCTTAGAGTTTTCCATCTAATCAACGTTTGGTGAGTAGAAATTTATTTTACTTTAACAAATTGTTTAACTTGCACCAGATGTAACAGGGAAAGACAGAAGAAAGTGAATATATAGGTTGAGGATCGACTCAGCTGAGCGTTTCGCGTTTTCATTTATGTAGTGCAATACCCAATTTCGCACAAAAGCCAAATCTACATTTAGGATGAAAAAGGTAGAATCATCACTCTTGGTAAGGTTACACCGAAGTATTATAGTTACACAGAAGCATTCAAAATAGCTCATGCATGTTTAACGTGCCTATGTTTATTTTAAGTAGGCACAGTATGCAAACTTTTACCAAAGCATTTTAAGCCTGGCCTGTGTGTGATCTGTAATACCATAACCAAAAACATCCAGTCAGCTCAGCTGTGACCAGTGTTGCAGATTACGAATCCCCTTAGCAATGACAGACCTTAAAATATACACTTGTGTACAAGTAGTGTCCTTCTTATAGATACTTGATTGTTTTTGCTATTTAATAGTACTTCTCAGCAACATTGTCAATAATGGTTATCCACGCAACTAATGTATAATTTACTATGGCATGGCAGAAATCAAAGTACAGCTGTAGTGTGAAATAAAATTTAGCAGACAGGTAATAAATCATGTTGTTATTCCCTCTCCAATCTCCTCACTGCTTCCCTGCTTTCACGCAGTTGCTCTTGCATTTTCTTGCTCAAACTAAATGCCCACTATGCAGGCTGAAATCCTTCCAGAGCATCCATTGCCCGTTCCTCTTATCAAGGGTAACAAAAGCTCTGGAGACAAGATTGAAACTAACAAACAAAAAGACAACTTTTTGTGACAACCATAACTCTATTTGCTTAGCCAAAATTGGAACAGGGACTTTTTGCAACATATGTTTAAATGTAGAAGAGTTAACGTTGTTCAGACATTAAAATGATCATGCAAACAATGAATATTAGACTGAGTGCACATATTTGCCACCTTAAGTTTAACTAATTTTCATGAACTATTTTTAAAGGAAGGAGGAAACCTTTCATAACATACATGTGCTCAGGGAATTTGAAGTAATACCCTACAAAATTCAAACAGCCCGTGTTGTGCAGACTGTACCTGATTATGTTGGATTGTTCTTCTTTTGCCTTGCTGCTGCTGCTGTTGTTTTTGTTTGAGAAGCTGGTTTTTCAGGTGAATCTGCTGTTGAAGCTCATTTAGTTCATCTGTTAGTGCTTCACAAATTCCTTCCATTGTATTATCCTTCATAGCCTCTAGCTCATTAGCCAGTCTTTAAAACAATAAATGTATAATTAAATTGATAAATTGGTATATATAATTATTTTGTGCCATAATTTTTTTTTTCTGGTTAAAGCTCTGCTCATTTACACTGACTTTATTACAGTGAGATCTGTGGTGCTGATTAATATACTACCTATACAGTTAACAGGGCCTGGTTGTTCAAAGCTGTGTTAAAGGTGACCCAGGGTAAGTGCGAAATTTGAATTCAGATATGAAAGCTAAAAAAGTGAATTCAGTTTAATACTTTTCGTCAAAAAGCTGATGATTGGATGCTCTTAAAGATAACAGAGAAAATTATCCAAGGAGATGCTTTTGAACAAAAGAAAAAGAAACCCCGGTTGAATTTAACCCTGGGTTAAGCGCTAATCGGCTTTTGAGCAACTGCGCCCAGACCTGTTTTTATTTAACTAGCTAAGCAAGAAATTGAACATCAAATTATCAGTTCCTGGGAAAATTGGTACCAGTACCAATAAGGAAAGGCAGTTTAGCATTTTTCTCAAACACAAGAGATCAGAGAAGGTAGCTCC